TAGCCTTGATCATTCATGAAATTAAAGTTATTTCAAGTTGTTTCCTAGGAGTATTTTTTGTAATTTTGGCTTCAAATTAATTCACAATGGCTTAAGATTGTGGGAGACTAATATTTGACATGTCTTTGACATGTACAAAATTAATCATCCCTATTTGATGTGCTTAAGAGCATCATTTGGGTGATTTAGGATTAAGGGTCCTTAATTGATCCTTAAGTTTAAATTAGTCTAATTACATATCCAATTAGTCTCCGGCGAATGCACGTGAAACCATTCACCCAAAATTAGTCTACATAAATGACCTGGGGCCTTAAGTAAACATAACTAATTCAATTTAAATTAAAAAATATGAATTAAAATGTTAATTTCTCATAATTAAATGCCCAATTAGAGAAAAATAAAAGCTCTATCATCAACCCTCAAAATTAATCAAAATTTAATAATTAATTAAAAATAATTTAAAAAAAAATAACAAAATAGTTTCAAACACTTGGAATCACCCTTAAGAGTCATTAATGATATTTGGGGAAGATTTCAAGAGAATTGAAATTGATTTGCTGCAAAAATCACAAAACCCCTCTAATTAAGAAATCAAATAATTCCATTAAATTATTAAACTTTGAAAATCACAATTAATCATAAAAATTTCCAAATCGATCAAACTCAGTGACATGTACTCATCTTGGAGTCTAATATTTATGAAAAATCTGAGAACTCTAGAAACTAATGTAAATCAAAAGTTAAGAAATTGACACTTTATTAAATATAGTAAAATATTCAATTAAATACAAAAAAAATATTAACTAATCAATTTTTTTTAGTAAATCATCATTATAACCAATCAAAACATATTATAAAATTAAAATGTACAACAATATTCCATTTATAAAGTTTTTAGGATGGTACCTTGGGCTAGGGCATTAAGTGTTCTGAGGAGGCCAAGAGTCCTCATGCCCGTTGTAACAATGCCACAAACAAATTTGATGGAATGCAAATCATAAATCACAAGCTTAATAAATCATTAACAAGATAATCACACATCTAGATAATTTAATCAATAAATTAAATCAAACTTAAACTCAAAAAAAAATTGATGGGGAACCCGGGCTATACGAGGATATTAAATTAGCCTCAATGATGGTGAAATAAATCTCACAGCCCTAATATAAATAAAGACAATTATTATTCAACATAAATAATTAATAATAAATCACTAATAAATCAGAGTCTTTATACCTTATGTTAGCTTTCTTTTGGAGAACATAAGTGTATTAAAACTTAGGATCTTAAAATTGAATGTCTAACCATATTCAATAGCTAAAACACTTCTTAAAATGGACATTAAAATATTAAGACTTGAACTCAAATTAAATTCCCTTAAATTTGAAAATAAACCAAAGCAAAATATTAGAAAACTCTAAATAATAATGACACTACAAGAAAACGCTCTATTACCGATGAACAAAATTCGCCGATAACACTAGAAAGCCGGCAGAAATCCTTCTTTCTAGAAAAATACCGGCGAAAACTATTTCGACGGTAATTCACGCGTTGAAAAATCTAAATCGACGAAAACTTTCAACTGAAAATATTTTTGGCGGCATTTCGGCACAAAAAATATGATAAATCAACTTCTTTAATTAGTTAGCAAATACCGACGTTTTCTCCGTCGATATCTCTGGCAGAAACTGTACACCGGAAATATTGGCGGATAATTTGCCGCCCTTGTCCGGTGCACTATTATCAGCAGAGATGGAAAGTCCGGTGCAAATGTACACCGAAAACAACGATTCAATTTTGTTACATCGTGTTGCCGATAGTTTTTCCGGCAAAAAATCTGTCAGAAACCTATAGCATAAACAAAAAAAAGCAACAATGTGACTTTTAAAACTAATTTTCACAATACAATCTGCATAAAAACAATGCAAATATATATATATATATATTCAAGCATCCATCTCTAATCAAGAACATCATAAAACTTATACACAATAACCAAAACAAGAATAATATCATCAATAAATATCTAATAATAAATAAGTGCTTATGTCCATAAAACAAATAAGTAAATATGTCCAAAAATACATAATTACATATATCCATATCATTAAAATAAACATCTACTTTGATTTAGCCTCTTCCTTTGTTGATGTTGTATTCTGCCCACTTAACTGCTCCCTCATCTTTAGCATTTTCTCTAACAATTGAGTTTGATGCAAATGCATCTGAGTTTGTTGCATCTTCTTCTGCTACTGTATCTCCATCTGCCAGTCAGCTTGTGCTTTCTTGCTCTACTCTAGCTCGGTTGTAAGGGCAGCTACATGTTGGCTATATAATGACTCATGGGTATTTGTTCAAAAGTTGAAACCACCAGACGTTTGCCCCTCATATCCATAGACTTGCATTGCGAGTCTAAACCATATACTCTGTCATGTTGCATTCCTCCTACCTCTTGCGATCAAGTGCGGTACTTAGAATATTCTGCTGATCTATCAGAAGAACTTTCACCTGCAACAACCTGGCTCTCTTGAAGCCATGTATACTGCTCCTATGAAAACTAATAAAAATTTAAGCAATTTAGACATTACATCAAAAATATTAAACTTATATACTACATAGGCTTTCCTCACTCGCTTATCAACCCATTGCTGGTCCTCCTGTCATTTGTGGGTATGACTATGCGATTCAATAGGGGTCGGTTATCTATCTAGCACCTCTTTCTGTAACAAACATATATTAATATTGATTTTTATATTAAAAAGTTGTTGATTTTTATATTAAAAAGTTGCTTTATGAAAGCAATAAGAAATCTATCCCAAATGAAGCCTAAAGGTTATCATTTATAAAGGGATTTTAACTTTACCAGCCACTCTCAATAAACCCTTGGCATTCTAGCTAGAAGTATAAAGGAAATTTGAGAAATTTGACCCATATATGAAAATCCTCATTAAAATGTTGGAAGTCCTATGACCACTTTGAAAGATAAAATGTTTGTCATTTACGACACAAGAGTCATCATTTCAAACAAAGTTGTAGTCCTCCATGCAAGGAGCAATTATTACATCCAGTCACTGAACGCGTTCATAGACCAATAACCACGCGCTACGACCTGAAACTCGGTATTGAGCACTCGGTATTGCTCGGTATACATTCAGATACGTTCAGCTTTGACCGGACGTAATAATTGCTCCCATGTAAGAAAGGAGTGCTAGGAATGAGAGGGAAAGAAAGGCTCTCATGAAATGGGGGAAGCAAAGAGGAAGAATAAAACTAGCTAGTAAAGCACTCCCGTGAGACTTTAATTCACTTAAAGATTCTTAATTAGTTCACAAGCTGATTATTCATCGATAGTCGGCTAGGCTTCAACTATTGCTTAATTTATTTTGAACTGTGTTGGAAGGGGGGAGAGAGAGAGAGAGAGAGAGAGAGAGAGAGAGAGAGAGAGAGAGAGAGGAAGTATAGATAGAGATATATTGAAAAATATTTATTGAGAGAAACTGAGAAATATACTAAGTGTGCAGATATTTTTTACTTTCAAACAAAAGAATATTTAGGTTTCGTTTGGGACAGATTTTTCTTTGCTTTCTAAAACAATTTTTAGTGTAAAATATTCTTGAAAGCAGCAAAAAAAGTCTCATAAAACTGTCCCAAACTAAGCCTTAATTCTCTTTGTCAACATGAATTTCACCAAATAATACAAAATCTCCTCGATATTTTCTTAGGCTTGCCCATTATTCTCTTATTTGATCATATTTATTATTGCTCAACTTTTAATTTTATGAAACAAATTTAACTATCTAGGAAAATGATGACAAATTTCCATGAAAAGCCAACCAAGAGAACAAAAGGTTTGATATGAAGTGGAATCAAATCACAAAGAATTGCTGTGTATTACCTTCATAATCATCCATGGTGGGTGTGTGAAAGCATTCCTGAAAAGAATGGAAGGGAGAAGCCATGGGACCACCACTTTACTATAAATATGCCAAGAATCTATAGTCAAATATCATTATTAATGATATCCTTGAGGCCAATTGAACTTTCTTTGCTGAGTTTATTCTCTAAATAAAGATGATGGAGAGGAATCCTGCCAACTAGAATTTGTAAAATGCTTGCAACTTCAGAACACCAATGGCTTAGCTTTTGATATCAATTATCAGGTAACTCGAGTTCAGATCAACTACTTACTGGCAAGCTCAAATTTGAGCTCAAGTTCAAGTCGTGCTCATACATTGATATGAAGTTAAGATATTAACTTAAATTTTGTTCAATCTTTCACCGCCACCGTCGTACCTTATGAACATAAAGTGTAGCATTAAAATATAGTTTACCTTTTGTATCTTTACATTCATAATATTCCATCTTTTACCACCACCGTCGGACATTGCCGCTCGCCAGCAACCACCAATTCTTTTGCCGCCGCTTGCCGGCCGCCATCATCTTTAAACATTACTCTTTATTTATTACTTATAACTAAACAAGGAAAATTATTCAACTACATTTGCTTTATATTCATCCAAACAACACCAAAGACATTTGCATACAATTCTATCATAACAAAAATATGTTTTACGAATGAACGGTTTCGCTTTGATATCCTTATAATGTTTTTTTTTTGTGACAATTAGGACTTCGAACCTGAGCTGCGTGAGAGGAAATAGCTTCGCTCAACCAGCGAGCTGCATGTTTTTTTTTTCTTTTTTAAACCAAAGAGCTGCACGTGTGAACTCCCTTACAATGTTTTAGGTTACCTACATATGGATAATATATAGAAAAAAAAAATATCAAGATCAAAATTATAATTCTAGGAAAAATAGAATGGAAGAAAACAAAACATAATGCAACCAAAACCCTACCCATTACGCTGTCCTGCATGCCCAATTTATCTAAACCAAAATGACGGCCTCCCTTTTGTTTGGACTTTAGAATTTGAAATAAAATACTCAGGAATACTGCGACTTAGCCCCTACAAGACGCAGGGAAGATAGTTACGTGAGGAAAATTCTCAAGGAGCTGACAGATTAAGACACATGGACGGTGGATATTCATCCTCCAGCTCTTCTTCCTCCTATAAATGGAGGTCACTTCATCCACTTCCGCCACATCCCAGCTTTAGAGAACTAAACTTACCTAAAAAAAACCCCTCCTTTTCCATCCTTTTCTTTGAAAAGAGCCTGAAAATGTCTTGCTGTGGTGGAAACTGTGGCTGTGGCGATAGCTGCAAGTGCGGCAGTGGGTGCAGCGGGTAATATTTGAATTTTGTCCCGTTCATAATTTAAAATTTTATATTTAATATATATATATAGTTTCTTAATTTTTGCCCTTTATGTAATGATTTTCATAGAGATATTGCTCTTGCTATTGTCTTTTCTATCTGTAACTTTGGTAAATATCGTTTTTGTTGTCTTTGATGCGATATGCGTAGCTTAAGCACTTTAATATTGATTATTGTTTGCTAATGTTTCTGCTTTCTGTAATGATTTTCTGAGAACTATATGATGCTTCTTGTGGCTTTTCTTCAATCCAGACTTTAGGTTAAGGTTTTATATATTTGGGATGATTTTTTTATTATTTTAAAGTAGAAATTCAGTACAATTTTTTTTTACTTTAAAACTGGCCTAAAAAGCAGTAACAAAGGCTTCGTTTCGGACGGCTTTCTTATTGCTTCTTAAAATAATTAATTTTTGTTTTATAACTTTGTTTTAAGAAGCAGTAAAAAAGTTGTACCAAATAGGGCCTAAATCATGCCGTTTTCTTTCATTTATGACACCTTTTTTTTTCTGTGGGCTTAACTTCTCATAAAATAATTAAATGCTTATACATTTCACTGTTGGCCTTCAATTATATGTTGTTACAGCGTGTTTGAGGCAGCTTTCTAATTGTTTTGCTTTTTAGACATTCATTAATTTGGCTACCGTTTTCTTACTACTCTGCGTAAATTTTTGTAATAACAAGCTTCTTTTTACAATCCGATCTACTAATATTTGAGAGCTATGAAAAAACTGTTTAACTTTTTTTTTTAAAAATAAAAATTCATAAAAGTTTTATAATCACCTTTATAAAAAACTACCGATTGAAGAAAAAAATGGATGTATCAGGTGGCCAGATTTTAAACCCCCCTTTATTTTTCTTCTCTGACAATCTTGCTTAGTGATTTCTCCTCTTTCTATAGTAATTTCTTAGAACTACTTCCTGGTCTCTTCAGTCCAGATCTGGGCACTGTGTAAAAATTCTTATATTTTTCTTTTCTAATGATGCTTAAATTCCTTATTTAAGCTTTAGTTTTTCTTAGCGCCTGAATTTTTTTTTTTTTTTTAAATATTTCTTAGATGCAACATGTACCCTGGTTTGGCTGAGGAGAAGATCACCACAACTCAAACAGTAATTCTTGGACTGGTGCCAACAAAGGGGTATCTGATTCTTCTTATCTATTTAACTTTATTGATGTGGTTTTCTTCTTTAATAAGGAGAATAATCATTTTCTTATTAAACTTAGTCATAGGTTGGGAAGGCTTTTTTATGGCTTTTTGAAGCAATCTTTTGATACAAAATTTAAATTTTTTTACTAAAAAACGGTTTTCAGGAACAGTAAAAAGTCATCCCAAACGAAGTCTTAAGTTAATGTCTATTATCTTCTATGGTTTTTAAATTCTTGACATATCTTTTGACTTTAATCTATGATATAAAAATTATTCATGAATTGAATTTCATTATTTTTTATAATAGGTCTGTCAATCAACATTTGTGAAAATATTTTAGATTTTATTAAATATATTTTATATACTATTAAGATTTTATTAATAATATTTTATATACTATTAAAAATTAATCATTAAAATTTTAAAATCATACTTGTATCTGAATACAATGATATAGAACTATAGAGATGAGTAGATATAAGAACACAAGTTATAATTTGATTTTATATTAAGGTTTCGTTTGTGATGACTTTTTTACTGCTTCTTAAAGCAGCTTTCAAGTACAAAATTTTAACTTTTGTACTATAAAATTGTTCTAAAAAGTAGTAAGAAAGTCGTCCCAAATGAAGCCTAAAGTTCCGTTTATGATGACTATAGAGTTTTGTAAAGATGATTGTAAAGCTGTTGTGGAGAATGTTACTTTTTTAAAAACTCCTCTGAATATTAGAAATATATTGTTTTTTGAAAATAGAACAAGCTACCAAATGTTAGCAACTATGGTTGTAAAAATAGTTTACCACCATAGAAATTTATAGAAAGCAACGAAAAAGCTAGCAATAGCCAAATAAAATTCTGATTGCGATCTAAAAATACAAAGTAGTGAGAAAGTTATCCTAAACAAACTCTAAGAGGAAATTAAGTAATAATCATATAATTCAACTAAATCAATCAATTCTTTTCTATATATTTGTGCTTATTAATTTTTGTTTAATTTATATTTTTTTGTCTTAACAGAAAACTTGAGGGATTTGAGATGGCTGAGGGATCTGAGCATGGGTGCAAGTGTGGATCCAACTGCACCTGTGACCCATGTAACTGCAAATGAAATAAACTTGAAGGAGGAGCTTGGTTTGGTGTTTGCCTGGTTTGTTAATCAAGAGTCTATGAAGAATTAATAAGATGCCTATGTGCCATGTATGTTTTATGCATATATGATGATATGATGCAAACCATACATGATACATGCATGCATGATGGTCATGACTAGTTTGTGTTGGCAGCCTATCTATGTTTGTCTTGTGTTGTGTGTGACATTTTATATTAATGGTGAAAAGAATATAGCTCCTTCTTAATTTTTTTTCCATGGTTATTATACGATCAATTTATACCGTGTGGTTATAACCTCTAAGGCCTCATTTGGGACAGCTTTTTTATTGCTTCTTAAAGCAGGTTTTTAATGCAAAAATTAATTTTTTTGTACTAAAAAATTATTTTAAGAAGCGGTAAAAAAGCTGTCCCAAATATAACCTAATTAAAATGAATTGTGATGAGAATGTGATTATGTACTTTTATATACTTGTGGATTGGAAATATATTTTACAAAATGACATTTTTTTAGTTTGAATATAAATTAATTAATGTTGAGTTTTATTTCCACAAGCTCAATTCAAATTAAATGAAAATAAAATACAAAGAATTATATTTTAATCAACAATATATTACATGGAACCCTAGATTTAATGAAAATATACTTTAAGATTTTATTTAGTAAAGAAGCTTCAACATTAGGGTTGTTGTTGTTGTTAAGACTCACTCTACTGACTTTAGCAATATGGCACATTAGTTATGATGGTTAGTTGTTTGGCTGCAACTTTTTATAAAGACAATTATGAAGATATTGAGAGGAAAAATTATTTATTGAAAGCTGTAATGATTATTATAAATATTTTTGAAAAAGTTGGATAGAGAGTTTTTACTATCAATCTCTAATAGATTTAAGTTTCATTTGGGCGGCTTTCTTACTGCTTCTTAAAGCAATTTTTCAGTATAAAATTTTAACTTTTTATACTAGAAAGATAGTTTAAGAAGCAATAAGAAAGTCGTCCCAAACGAAGGCTTAGTTATAAAAAATAGTTTCTCATCCCATATATATTTTTTGAAAAGCTATAAAGAACATGAGATAAATAGAAATGTGACAGCAATTTGAAAAAAATCATAGTGAAGAGGTTATCCTAAACAAACCATTAATAAAAATTCTCTTCTATTTTTCAATCATATGTATGCAAGTAAGATACTTGAATCTTAAAATGTGGTATAAGTGTGAATACTTAATTGGAAATCATATTCTTATATTATTGTGAGGATTGGATTTATTACTATAGTAAATTCTTTTCTTAACTTAATTCTTATACGCTAGCAACTATAAGGTCAATTTATCTTATTGACACACATGTTAATGCCAACCAACTTTATCACCCATTATTACAAATAATACTGACACACGCCACCTCCTATAAAGTTAAGGCACGCCATATATAAAAATGCATATGCTTGCCGAATTTATTGTTCAACATCATTAATAACATCTATGCACACCATCGTTCATAAGGCCAATGCACGTCCTCGACAAAAATATTGGCACCCACCGACTTTGTTGCCCACTATCACAACTAAAAAACACACTTCATTACATATAATGCCGATACATACCGTCAATACAAACTCCAATGCCCATCAACTTTATGGTGTGCCATCACAATCAAATTTCAACGTGCATCACCTATAAGATGATGCATGATGTCAACAAAAAATTTCAATGCTAGACAAATTTATTACCCATCATTGATAATAATGTCAACATCCACTATCGCCTATAATACTAATGCATTTAATCGATTAGGGGTGTAAAAATGGGTCAACAGATTGGGTTCAGGTTCTACTCAAAATTAACTTGACTTGAATATAGTCCACCTGAATCCAGCTCGTTTAATAAACGGGCCAAAAAATCAAACCTGAACCTGCCCGCTAGCAACCCAAACCCGGCCTGATAACCCATTTTAATTAAAAAAAATCATATTTTATTAGGTTACTAGTACTAAAAGCCCCATCTGCGACCTCCAACATTGTTTGCTAGACCTTAAAAGTGCCCTTAAGAGGAGACCTTGGGCCTCCTCCAACTTCATTTCTAACTCCATTTTGGAGTTGAAAAACAGGCAACAAATTTACCTTGATAACATTCAAATCTCTCCTTTGGACAATCATTTAAATACTACTCTTAAATGTATCAATGTGTAACTAGTCAGTTTTCAAGCCTCTTGGGCTTCTTGGATTTCTCAAAGGGCTAAAGAGAGATGGTTATATCAAGGGGAAGATGACCTTGATTTTTTGTATGCCAAAATTCATGACAAAAGGAACTTAAATAATTTCTATGAAATTTTCAATGCCAATAGCTCCCTCACATCTCATCAAGACATTGCTGCTGCCTTCATTCAACATTTTAAAGGTTTCTTCAACTCTCCAAAATTGATTAATGCTGATAATTTCTCGATCCACGCTGGAAATTTCATTCCCCCCAATCTGACTACCTCCTTGGTAGTTCCTTTCTTTTATGAAGAAATCAAAAATGTTGTTTTTGAAGGGAATGATTCCTACACTCTTGGTTCGGATGGTTTTTCTTTTGCCTTATATAAAAGATCTTAGCACATGATTGGCCCACACGTTTGCGAAGCGGTGATGGATTTTTATACTTTTAGTTTTTTACCAAGAGGTGTTAAGGCCACTGCAATCACTTTAATTCCTACAGGAGCTCGTGTATCTTCCATCTCTGACTATAGGCCAATCTCTCTTTGCATTGTGTTGTATAAGATTATGGCTAAACTGATTGCTAATAGACTTAAACAAGTGCTGTCTCTCATTATACATGAAAGTCAGGTGGGGTTTATTCAAAAAACGGTGTTCTACTGATAATATTCTTTTAGCCTCTAAGAGTCTCAAAGGCTTCAACTCTTTAAGTAATACTTTATGTGTGAAGTTGGATATTCTCAAAGCTTTTGATTATATGTCTCATGATTTTCTGTTTTATAGATTGAGACAAAAGTTTTCCGGAAAAATTTATTAAATGGGTGAAAGGATGCATCTCCAATGTTTATTTCTCTATTGTATCAACGGCTCCCTCAATGGATTTTTCAGCTCCTCCTCGGGCCTGTGTCAGGGATGTCCATTATCCCGTTACTTTTTTGTATTGTTATAGATGGGTTTTCTTGCAGCATGCTTCATGCAAACCCCGATTTTTTAGGCCCACAAATTAATGGTTGCTATATTAATCATCTCATATGTGCGGATGATGTCTTGGTCTTTGGATATGCCTCTCCTGCTAATAATGTTTGCCTAGCCAACACTCTTTCCATTTTTGCTAATGTTTCGGGGCTTTTCATCAACCCTTCTAAGAGCTCTATCCTCTCTTAAAAAAATGTCTTATTTCCGGATCACATTTGTGATATTTTGGGTATCCCTCATATGAGCTTATTTCTCAAATACTTGGGTATTCCTATCTCTTCCTCTCGGCTCAATTCTATTCACTTCCAACCACTATTGAGTAAAATTTTTACTCTACTTGCTAGTTGGAAAATAATTTTTCTTTCTTTTGCAGGTAGAGTGCAATTTTTAGAATTGACTATTGCTAACACAATTGCTTACTAAATTAGAGGATCCATCATACCCAAGGCGTGCTACAAAGTTATTTCTAGACTATGCTCTAGATTCTTATTCCATGGCCGGATTTTTGATAAGAAAATTCATTTAGTTTCTTGGTTTAAAATTACTCTATTTAGACATTTGGGGGGCCTCAGCATACTATATATTGATGCATTTTATCATGCTAGTTATTGCTCATTTTTGTGTTGGTTTTTTGCTACATACAGTTTGACTATTTCCTGGTTTAAAGAGAAGTATTTATTCCCTTGGAAACCCCTCCCAACTAATGCTTCTAAATTCTGGAAGAAGATCTGTGCTACTGCTCAGAAGGTTAAAAGCTCTATTTCTTTGAATGTTTCAACTAATTGCAACTTTTCTATGGCTTGAGACCATTGGTATAACGGGAAGTTGCCGCATGATATTTTACCCATCTTTCAGTTTGAGTTGTCTTTTGTTAATAGCTATATTAACAACAACCGTAGGGATGTCCCCTCTTCTTTCCCGGATCTGTTTCTTTCTGAGCTCTCGGGTATTACCATATGCGAGCAAATAGTTGTGTCTTGGGATGGCTTACATAATCCTACTCTCTCTACTTTTTACTCTAGTTTTCTTGGCAATTTGGAGGAGGTTGTTTGGTTCAAGTTTATATGGCATAAACATCACTCTCTAAGATTTTCTTCTTGTGCATGGATGACAATTTTAGACAGGTTAAAAATTTATATATGCTATCCACTGATATTAACGATATGTGCGAGACCTTTATAAAATTATTAATTTTTTTTAATTAGACCTTTATAAAATAATTAAATTATAAAAATTATCTACTCTACGTAATAATAGAAAAATACATAAATAGACAAAAAGTAATAGAAATAGAAAAATAATGATGACCCATCATTAAGCACGGATCAAGGCCATCCACCGATTTCCTGTAGGACATGTTTATAAATATGGAGTTTGAGCTAGTTAGTGAATAGGCAATCGAACGGCTCAGATTGCTAAAGAAGAATACAATTTCTTAACCTTGCTCGCGTGGTTCTAGAACCCTAGAACAGCAGAGAAGAGAAGAAGACGGAAGAGCAGCGAAGAAAAAAGCCAAAAGATGGACAAAAGCATGCTCGGCGATCTGGATAACCTTCCAGAGGAGGACAAAGTCCGAATGTCAACGATGATTGATCAGCTCCAGATCCGTGACAGGTTCCTCTTATTCCTTTTAGCACGTATTGAGCTGGATTTTCTTTTATTTTCTTGAAAATTCTGGAATGATTGCTTTTGGTTGATTCGAATCAGTAAAGCAACCATTTTTCGCTAGGGTTTTGTTCATGTTAGAAACTTGGAGGAATTTTGTCCATTCTTTGAGATTTCAGCTCTTACTGTGGGGGATGGCTATAAGGGTGGTTTATTGATTCACATGGGATGGTATTCCTTGTATCTTATACCCTGTTAAAATGGAGCTTTTGGAATATTGGAGGTGATTTGCTGGCTTGAATGCTGGTTTGAACTGCTAAAAACATGGAAGCTTGGTGGTTATTTTTGATATGTTGGCTTCATTAGGCACGTCTATCCCTTCCAATATGTTGGTAAGAAAGCAAATAACTTAAATGATACTTACAAGCTTTTACTGCATTCCCTTTGATGTCTTCTATGACACTACAGAACTATTTTATGAAATTGATTACTGTTGCGGGCTTGAATATACGCGGCGATAGAGTTTTAACTATACGTCTTAGCTTTGCACGGATATCCAGCACACACACACAGAGAAAATAAAACTTTTTACGTGGAAAACCCTTAAAAGGGGAAAAACCACGAGGCCTAGCGGCGAGCACGTCGGGCCTTCAGTAGAACGTCGGGCCTTAAGCAGAATGTTGGGCTTGAACGTCGGGCCTTCAGCAGAACGTCGGGCGTGAATGTCGGGTCTGAACGTCGGGCCTGAATGTCGGGCCTTTAGGTGGTGGTGCAACGAAGCTCCGACGATGGTCCGACGAGGTTCCAGCGGCGGTCCGACGAGCTCCGATGGTGGTCCGGCGAGATTCCGTCGGTGGTCGAGGAGCTTCTTCCTTCTCTTCTCCTCCTCTCTTCTTCTCTTCCTTCTTTTCTCCTCTTCTCTTCTTCTTTTCCCTTCTTGCTTGAGTCCTCTCTTGTGAAAAATGAGGGCTATATTTATAGATTTTCTGGAGTGGCATAGCTCGTAAATAGGCGTGAGATCAGGGGCGAATAGGGAGTGGTCGAATGGACGGCCGATATTGAATTCTATGACCGTGCACCGTTCGTTGGACATTTGAAGACCTTAATGATGTCAGAATTCTGTGATCTTGGGCTCGTTGGATTCGTCCTGTCGAGTCGTTCGATTCGAGTATAAGCTCGTTAAAATTGGAGACCGTTTGGTAACTCAAATTGCAGTTTAAACCTTCCAATAGCACTTCGGGTCCATGATTTGGACCCATTTGGGCTCAGATTGGGTTGAATTTGGTGTCATAGTTCTGAGACGCTCAGTTTGATTGTAAGCTTGCTGAAATCGGAGTTCACGTGCTCTTGGATTTAATTTTTGAAGTTTTAAATTTGGGTTTTTCCTTGAGATTCATGCCTGATCAAGACAATTTCATGATAACGTATCAGTTGCCCCCCTTTTTTCGGATGTCGAAGCTCCATGAGTCCGAAAATGCTTGTTCCAAAATTTTACACGGGCCAAATTGTAAAAATTTGCGTTAAAAAAATTAATAACTTGCTCGAATTTGATCATAGAGGCCCCGTTGAGCTCTGAAAGTATCGAAATCGAGTACAAAACGTCGAAAACCATGTCCAAGGACCCCAAAAACGTTGAATTTGGACTTTCCGGGACAAAAATCGGGCAAAAATATATTCTGTAACTTATAATTTAAATAATAAAATATGTATAATTATATCAACTCTTCTCTGGTGGATGAGTGGTAAGTCTTTTGTCATCCATGCCCAAGGTCTTGGATTCGAATCCAGGAGAAGGCATGAATTTTTTGGTGATGACGTGACAGCGACATGCAAAACGGATCGATGACGTGGCAGTAGCATGCGGATCGATGACGTGACACCTATAACCTGTTAGTTCGTGGGTGACATGGCCATGACATAGATCGTGGATGACGTGGCACCCATGACCTGTTGGGTCATGACTGACGTGGCCACGACACAGATCGTGGATGACGTGACACCCATGACTTGTTGGGTCATGGCTGACGTGGTCACGACATGCAGAATCGTGGCTGATATGGAAATACCATGCAGGACGGATCGATGACGTGGTAATGTCACATATGACGGATTGGTGACATGGCGCCCATATGCAGGGCGGATTGATGACGTGGCGCTGACATGGCTGATGACGTGGCATCCGATTTTTTTACTCACCCTTCTTCCTATAAATAGGCTCCCCTCTGGGCCTTATTCCTTGCACCTTCTCCTTCTTTTCTTCTCATCTTTTTCCTCTATCCTTACAATTGAGGCATTCCCTTGGTCTTCCAAGACTCCCCTCTTTGCAAGGAAGTCTCGAGATTATCCCTTATCCTTTTCTTCCTATATTCTTACAATTGAGGTCTTCCATTGATCTTCCAAGGCCCCTCTCTTTGCAAGGAAGTCCGGAGATTATCCCTTATTTCCTCCATCTTCAGGAGAAATGTCAGGTGATCGTCTTCCACCGAGAGATCCTGTTATCCGGGGAGCCCCCATCCCCCAGCATGATTGTGAGCAGAGGTCAAATAAGGAAGCGAGGGTAGATGAAACAGCATCGACGGTTACAAATGACTTCCTATTTCTTTTTCGCAAGAATTATAATTTTTCGAATGATGTGAAGACGATGGTCCCTAGGAGGTCTGATCGAGCTAGCCTTCCTCCTTCCGGGTACTTGACCGTTTCTTAGACCCACTTACGGGCTGTGTTACGCTTTCCACCTTCTACCGAGTTGATTGAAGTTTTACAAAGGTGCGGAGTGAACTTATCCCAATTTTCATTTAGAACGATGTTGGTGACTGTGGGATTGATTGCTCTCTTCCGTGATCGGGAAGCTACTATGACACCAGAGCACCTTTCACGGATGGGTCGGTTCACCAGTGATACGTATGAGCGTGTGACCTTTAGATCCAAATGGTTGGATGTGCGTATCCGTGATCCTTCGAAAAACTGGACAAATGCATTTTTCTTTGTGAAGAATGATTGGGGCTTGATAGAGAAGTGGGGGAAGATGAAGGATCTGTCATCCCCTCTGCATGTCAGTGAATACGATATAATGAGAATCTTGAAGGTTCCTGATCTCGATCTTCTATTTGAGGTTCGTCACATGAGTAAATACACCGAGGAAGAGTTCTTATTCAAGATTGGTCTGTTATTCCATGCTGGGAGGTCTGATGTAAGAATGTTGAAGCCGACTTCCAGGGTCCCTGAGCACCCTACCTCAACTGCAAAAGCGGCTCCTAAATGACCGGCAAGAGATGAAGATCCTCAGGTTTTGAAGAATAAGAGGGTGGAAGGGACTGCCACAAATACTGACAAAGTTTTATCTGGCTCTTCCCCAACCAAATTGCATATCCCTGAGGATGTTTTGAACCACCAATGTATCGGACACAATAAAACTAGCAATTTGGTGAGTAACATATCCCAATGCTTTTATCTCCTTTTCTTATAGGGTGACTTCTAATAAGCTTTTCTTTTTATTTCAGCTGTCACGTCTTGTGATCGAGATTAATGACTGGAACAGTGAATTTGTCAAGATCAAGTATCTTCACGGGAAGTTCAAGCGAAAGTATGACCATAAGGTCAAGGAGATAAATATGCTTGAAGAGGAGTTGAACGAGTGCAGAACTGAGTTGGCTAATACAATGCACTCCGTATCTCTCCAAAATCGGCAGACAGATCGACATCAAATAGATCTGGAGGAGGCTCAAGCGACAATCACCAAGCTTTTGAAGGATCATAAGGCTTCTGAAGAGAAGATAGCATCACTGGTAGCAAAAGATAAAAAGTCTCAAGCTCTTATAGCTGAGAAGGAGGCTGCTTTGTCTGGCATAGAACCTTCGAGAGTTATTGAAGATTTGAAGAAGTCTATAGCTTTCAAGACTATCATTCAGGATCATGTCCAGGAGGCTCGAGATCATGTCTATGATATAGAAGTGAAGGCCTTGAAGCAGCAGTGTACTGAAGATGGATTCATTCGGGGCTTTTTGAAGGGGGTTCACCTGATGCAGCGGAAGACCGGATTTCATGTCGAAGGGGTGATCTCTAGCCAGGCTTCAGATGACTTTCCTTCAGGTTCTGACGGTGATTAAGGACCTTCCGAAGATCACTCTATGCCTCATCACCGTCAGAACCTGAAGGAAAGTCATCTGAAGCCTGGCTAGGGATCACCCCTTCGACATGAACTCCGGTCTTCCGCTGCATCAGGTGAACCCCCTACAAAAAGCCCCGAATGAATCCATCTTCAGTACACTGCTGCTCCAAGGCCTTCACTTCTATATCATAGACATGATCTCGAGCCTCCTGGACATGATCCTGAATGATAGTCTTGAAAGCTATAGACTTCTTGAAATTTTCAATAACTCTCGAAGGTTCTGTGCCAGACAAAGCAGCCTCCTTCTCAGCTATAAGAGCCTAAGACTTTTTATCTTTTGCCACCAGTGATGTTATCTTCTCTTTAGAAGCCTTCTGATCCTTTAAAAGCTTGGTGATTGTCGCTTGAGCCTCATCCAGATCTATTTGATGCCGATCTGCCTGCCGATTTTGGAGAGATACGGAGTGCATTATATTGGCCAACTCAGTTCTGCACTCGCTCAACTCCTCTTCAAGCACCTTTACCTCCTTGATCTTATGGTCATACTTCCGCTTGAACTCTCCCTGAAGATACTTGATCTTGATAAATTCACTGTTCCAGTCATTAATCTCGATCCCAAGACGTGACAGCTGAAATAAAAAGAAAAGCTTATTAGAAGTCACCCTAGAAGAAAAGGAGATAAAAGCATTGGGATATGTTACTCACCAAATTGCTAGTTTTATTGTGTCCGATACATTGGTGGTTCAAAACATCCTCAGGGATATGCAACTTGGTTGGGGAAGAGCCAGATAAAACTTTGTCAGTATTTGTTGCAGTACTTTCCATCCTCTTCTTCTTCAAAACCTGAGGATCTTCATCTCTTGCCGGTCGTTTAGGAGCCGCTTTTGAAGTTGGGGCAGGA